CTCTCCTTGAAGCCAGGCTGGCTCCTAACTTGCCTTGACTGATAGAATGTGCTGGAAGGTGTGAGTTCCTTATTCTGCAGGATAAGCCTTATTTTAGCCTTCCACTTTCACTCTTTTGGAATGCTGCCTCCATATGCCCCATGGAAGGAAACCGATCTAGCTCACAGGCTGGCAAACCTTTTATGTAAAGGGCCAGGGAGTAGGTATGTTCGAATTTGTGGGCCATACGATCTCTGTTGCATCTTCCAATCCTCTCATTGTGCAAAAGCAGCTCTAGACAATATGTAAATAAATTTCTGTGTCTGGGTTCTGATCAAACTTTATTTACAGACACTAAAATTTGAATTTCATAGGATTTTCAGGTGTCATGCAATATTAATCTTTTGACTTTTGTGCACCCATTCTTAGCCCCTAGTTAGCAGGATTGGCCTGTGACTCCTGCTCTAGCCTATTGGTTGACAGGCCACAGGGAAGACAGCTAGATGCCCAGCGCCAACTGCCATACATGTGACCTTCCAGCCCAGCCACTGGCGGAATGTAGCAGAGGGACTGGACCAGGTGAGACTGAGAGAGGTGATGAGGCAGGCTTGCTGACCTTGGCTGGTTAACACAATAAGGGAAAGAAAGTGCCAGGCTGTTGAAAAACAGGATGCTGCTTTTATCCCACAGTTGGCTCCTTGGTTCTAAGGACATAGCCCTACAACAAGACATTTTATCTTCTACAACTGCTGCATCAACCCCAAGACCATATCTCAGTACCTCTTTTTTTGGTTCTCTTTCCCATCAAAGTTTCTGTTTTAGGGCTGCGATCCACGGGAGGAAAGAGCCCATAATAGATGGTGATTGGCATCGCCAGAATGAAGATAATGATGACAGAGCCTTTCAATAAAAGACCCCATGGCCTGATCAGAAGCTGGAGCTCTCTCTCGTCTGGCCACCTTGGTTGACAACTCCCTGCTCAAGCACTTTCTTTCCTTTTCCTCTTTGGAGCAATAAAAACATCCTTTCTCTTTGTCTCTCTGCCTCTGCTGAGAATGTGCTGAGATTTCTTTCTCACCCGGCGAGCAAAGACCCACACATTTGGTGGGCTTTCCAGCTTGGGGGGTATTCTCTCTATCCATTAACAAGACCAGCAGAGGGACCACCTCGGCAACCCCCAGGGTCCTGAGAAATAGTTGATTGCTCTTGTGTGAAGCCACTCAGTTTGAGTAATTTGTTATGCAGCAGTAGCTAACTGGAACACCGAGTCCTGAGGACTTTTCTGGACATGGGAAAATGTGATGGACTCTGCGAGAAACTCACTATTGACTTTAAACAATAAAAAAGGAAACTGCAAAATCCTTTCTCAAGAGTTTAATTTACATTCTCAAGCACTGTTAACTGGCCCATTCCTGATGTGTCCCCATTTCATTCTGTTTAGAAACAATTTCCTGGTCAAATTTTCCTTATACTGCCAGAACCCTGGGAAGTCCCAGCCTGTTGTGAATTCAAGAGGTTCCTGAGAGCGAAATGATCTCAACAACGGAGAACTCTTCTATGATGTTTACCAGTTGCAAAAATAAAGGGAAACCTCACCAAAATGGTGTTGAGAGGCCAGAAGGGGGAGCTCTCATGCAGGACCACTCAAGGTCAATTACAGGAAGAATTGTCAATTACAGGCCCCAACAGAATCATCAAGAGGAAAAAAGCATCAATTACAGGCACCAATAAGAAAAAATGTACATCACATCTTTTATAAGAAATTGACTAACCCAGGAACTCAGTCAGTGAGAAACTGTCATCACCCTGAATGCTCACATTCCTCCAATGGATTTTCCTTCAAAATAATGCCTCCCAACTTCCTTCTTTTTCTCTAAAAAATAATGTTCCTCTCCCACAACTTTTTGTTGTTGTTGTTGAACCTGCCTATGATTTTTGCTGTAGCTTACTTGCCCTGAGTTGCAATTCTCTGCTATTCCCCAACAAACCCATTTTTGCTGGTAAAATAACTTCTATTTTTAAGGTCAACAGAGGTGCCAGGTTTGTGTTCTCAAAACAGCTCTACAAGGCCTACGTGATTTTCTCCCATTTTACAGCTGAAGCACAGAGCCTGGGGGAAGCTGATTCATGCAGCCAAGCTACCCACTGAATGATGAGCAGAGCTCATTTCAACTTGACCAGACCTTTCAGCTATCTCAGAATTGCCAAACTGTAGCACCCTTGCCATTTGGGGCCAGATCGTTCTTTGTGATGTGGAAGCTGTCCTGAACATGGCAGGACGTTTAGTAGCATCCCTGGCTTCAACTCACTAGAAGCCAGTAGTACCTCCTCTTTGTAACAATTAAAAATGTCTCCAGGTGTAATCAAGTGTCCATAGAGGGCAGAATCGTCCCCCAGTTGAGAACTACTGTTCCAGCTGGTTACCCTGCTGTTATTGGGTTGACTGGTGGCCCTTAAAGAGATATATCAAAGTCCTAACCCCCCAGAACCAGTGACTGTAAGCATATTTGGAAAAAGGGTCTTTGCAGATGTAATTAAATTAAGGGTTTCAAGATGAGATCATCTTGGATTATCTAGGTAGGTCCTGACTCCAATGACATGTGTCCTTATAAGAGACAGAAGAGAGGACACAGACACACGGTGAAGGCAATATGAACATGGAGGCAGAGATTGGAGCAGCATGGCCACCAGTCAAGGACTGCCTGGAAACCCAAGAAGCCAGAAGAGGTAAGGAAGCATCCCTGGAACTTCCAGAGGGAACATTTCATTTCTGACCTCTGGCTTCAGGAAGAACTGTGAAAGAATACACTCTGTTATTTTAAGCTACCCACTTCGTGGTACTTTGTTATGCAACCCCAATAAACCAGCACCCCTACTGTGGTGGGCACTCAAACATGGCTGGGAGAAATTGCTCACTCCCACATGGTGCTCATGTCCGCGGTGCTGTGATCTTCCTGTAATTTTATTTCAATATATGCTTCATTTTTCTTGTTCTTCCATAAATTTCTAATGGAAGTTCCAAGAACTCCCTTGGCTATGGCCTTCACAGCCCTGTGGTCATGTTACCCAGTCCAAACTCTCTGCTTGCTGCATGACAGATCAATAAATCGGAAGACGAGGTATTGGGGCAAGGAATAATGACTTTATTCAGAAAGCCAACAGATGGAGAAGATGGGGGGCTAATGTCCTAGAGAACCATCTCCCCCAAATCAGAATTCAGGCTCCTTTTATACTAAAAAGGGGAGGGGGTGAGGTTGGTTGTTGCAAACTTCTTGGTATCGGAATCCTTTGTTCTTGCAGCTGTCCCCATAGATCAGGTCATAATATTCCTGTAAACCTCCAACAAGACAAATGTTATTCTCTGTTCTGCAACTTTTTATCTCTATATGAATGGAAACGTGTTATACCTTCACAGGTCAGAGCCTTGAGAATGGGTTACCCTGTATATTTCAGGCTATAGGCCACATTCTTTTACAAAAAGTGCAGACCCAGCATGACTAAGCATCAGAAACAGAGCACACGGTTGGAACTAAAGGAACAGATCTAATATGGAGTCAGATTTGTTCCTCCCTATTACAGTCACCTGGGGAAGGGAGACACCCATCAGTCTGTCCCTGTTCATTCTCCAGATGAGAAGCCCCTTTGTGCACAGTGTCCTGGGAGGTGGATGATAGCCTCCAGAGAGCAACCAAGGAGCAGAGGGGAGAGGTGACCCCACCCCTGTGAAAGAGGCTCAGATCCTGGTTTGACCTTAAAACCTGAGTTCTGTCCCTCTGTCCCCTTATCCCAGCCTCAGTTGCCCCTTCTGTGAAATGGGGATAGGACTATTTTTTCATGAGTCATCCAGAATCCCTGGTAACAGTTATGTTTTGGAATTGGACACTTTTCAAATCTTAGGAAGGTAACTGAGTGTGAAAGCTACCATGTATTGCAAGATGTCCCTGGGGGTGTGGGAAAGCCCTTATGTAAAGGGATAAAGGCTAAAAAGGGATGATTGAATCACTGAAAACAGCCTGACTTGGTGCTGGAGAAGTGGTCCCTCCACTGGAGTTCTGGCACTATCCTAAGAAAAAGTTGGGTTTGCAGAGCCTTCTGGATTTGGGGAGTATTGAGGACCCAGAAGAGTACCTCCAGGAGCAGTGGGGAGAGGTGGGAGAGACTGTGACGTGCACTATTTAGTCAGGGCTCAGTAAGCTTGGTAAAATGGAGGGAGGAGAGGGAAGAAAGGTGGAGGGGGGAGAAGGGGAGGAGAAGAAGAAAGAGGAAGAGGAAGAACCGGCAGGGGACAGGGGAGAGAGAAGGGAAGGGGAGTGGTGGGGAGGAGGGAGGGGAGAGAGAGGGGGAAAGGGGAGGAGGAGTGGGTGGAGGAGGGGAGAGAAGTAGGGGAAAGGTGAGCAAAGGGGGAAGTGGAGGAAAGTGAGGAGGGGAGGGAGAAACTTGAACGGGGATGAAGAATGGGGGAGAAGAAGGGAGGAAATGGGGGAAGTAGAAGGAATTAGGGCCAGAGGGAGAAGAGGGAAAAGTTTACAGAAGATTGAAAGGGGAGGAGGAGGGGGAGGAAGGAGAGCAAGCTTTCAGCCGGCATCTATGAATGAATGAATCTCAACTCCAGCTAATGACAACTCCAGCCCTCAGTTTCTTTACCTGTAAAATGGGGGGATCACAACAGTGCTACCTGGCAGGATAAGAGTGCGGTGTTGTTACTGGGCATTGCTGACTCTGCTAACTCCTGGCTGAGAAAGTAGGGGACCAATGGCTGGCTCTGGGCCTGTCCTCTGGATCTGCCTCCTCGTCCCCATTTCACCCACCCTAGGCAGCCCTCAGCGACCAATGGGCAGCATCGAGGAAGGTGGGGGTGGGGGCAGTGAGTGCCTGCCCAGTCCTGTCCTCCAAATAGCGCTGGAAGCACGCCCTGGCCACCTCCCAAGGAGAGTGCTGAGAAGGTCGGCCAAGAAGGGCAGAGAACAAGCAGGGGTGGGGTGGGCAGGGGGTGCAGAGGAGGGGGAGCTTGGAGAGGGGGATCCAAGGCAGAAGCCCGCATGGGCACAAAGCCGTCAGAGCAGGTCCCAGGACTCTTCAGAAACAGAGGCCCCGAGGGGCCCACCTGCTCAGGCTAGGTGTGGTGTCCTGTGTCTTGGCCTTGCTCTCCTTGCCCGTCTACAGCCTGAGCTTCTGGGAGCCCGCGAGGGAGCAGCTAAAGACTGAGGGTCTGGTCTGTAAGTGGCTCTAGGTCAGCCAGGGAACAGGGTGGTGGGTAGCCAGGCCAGCACTGGCAGCGCCTGACCAGAAGGAAATCTTTGGGGTATCTAGCTGAGCATTTAGGACCCTGGAATGCAAATAAAGGACTCTGTGGAGCTTCCTGTGGAAGGGTGGGGACCTGGTATGTGGATTTTATCCTCCCTGGGCTCCTGGGATGTTACACTGAGACTTAACTGACAAGATTTGGGGAAATGGATTTGGGATTAGCTGGGTTCTTAAAGTATATCTCTTAAGACTGAGATCTTCTGGGGCCCATAGCCTGTGAGTTTAGGACTCTCCGGGTCCTTGGAATGTGTTTAAAACCGAAGAGGCTTTGGGGATTGGATTTAGAACAAGATAGGGCAAGAATCCAGCACAGGTAGGCCCTGAGTGTGAACTGGGACTTTCTAGTCCCTCGGGGTAGGGATCTTGGTTGCAGTAAAGCTAGGGAGGGTGCGCCAAGGAGCGCTCGGGAGCCACGCCTCTGGAAAGGATGCACGTGTTTTCTAATCGCCAGGCAGAGAGGGGAGGAGGGAGAGGGGGCGTGGTGAAATTTAGTTGTCATGGAGACAGCGGCTGTCTTCGCCAGAGCGTTCTAGCCCCTGCGTCTCGTTGGCCGTCGCTCTGACCAGGGGGCCTTCTCTATGTTCATGGCCTCCGGAACGGTGGCCTGGGCTATACGGCCGAAGGGCTCTAAGCCAGATCAGTCGGAGGAGAACTTTCTTGGGAGGGCAGGTGAGGCGGGGCCTAGGGTGCACCTAGGTGGACCAGAGTGAAGCCGGAGGGTTGTCGCTGGGCCAAAGCCTGAGGGCGGGGCCGGTGGCTGGGGTGGAACTTGAGCCTGGGAATGCGGGTTAGGCCCAGGACTGGGGGCGAGACTTGAGTTCCTGGGGGCGGGGCCTGATCCAGAGTGGGCGGGGTGTGTCTTGTGGGCGGGGCCATAGGCCTAACCTAGGGGTTAAACCTCTTTCAGAGAGGGCGAGGCTCTGGGCTGGGAACTTATATATATGGGCAGGGCCGAGGGGGGGCCTAAACTGGGGGCGGGGCCAAATGAGTGGCGGGTGCGGGTAGAGGTGGGATCTGGAGGAAAGCCCAGGACCAGAAAGCTGGACAGGCTTGAGGATAGGAAGTGGGGGTGGATCCGGGGAACCAAGGACAGCAGCTTAGTCATAGCATGGGGGCGGGTCCTAGTCAACTGATTGGGAAGGGCCTGGGTCTGTGGTAGGGCCAAGGTGGGCACTAGGCTTGGCGGCCAAGTCGTTAGGGTGGAGCTTGGGCCCAGACTATAGCCGCTAGGTCGAGGCACGGGGCAGGGCTTGACGGTGACTGACGGATAGAAGAGCACTATCTTGGGGCGCGGCCTGTACTAGTGATTGGCAGAAAAGCCTGGGCCGGGTTAGCAGCAAGGCGGCCTGTGTCCGATTTGGGACGGGAAGGAGCCCTAGCCCGGGGGCGGAGTCTGTCCGAGACATGCCCAATCCTAGACATGGGGCGGAGCCTGGCCCGAAGCGGGAGCGGAGCTTGTCCTGGGGGCGGGGCTGTTCTGTCCGTGGGGCGGGGCCCTGGCTGCCCGCGGCCTCAGCGCTCTCCGCCTCCCCAGGATGCGGGCTCCGGGTGCAGGTTCGGCTTCCGTGGCCTCGCTGGTGCTGCTATGGTTGCTCGGGCTGCCGTGGACCTGGAGCACAGCGGCGGCGCTCGGCGTGTACGTTGGCGGCGGCGGCTGGCGTTTCCTGCGCATCGTCTGCAAAACCGCGAGGCGGGACCTCTTGTGAGTGCAGCCCAGGCCTGGTCCCAGGGCTGGAGCGGGTCGGAGGCGGGCTGCACGTCCTGAGGGCGAACACTGGCGAGCTGCAAGGGCGGCTTGGAGATCCCTGAGGGCTTGGGGTGGGGAGAGATTTTGGTGACTGGGGGTGGGGTTTGGATTGGGGCGGGGCTAGGGGCGGGGCCGGGATCTGAAAGACTGAGGGGTTGGGACACTCTAAGGGTTCCTGCAGGAGACAGCTTGAGGGTTTCTGGAGGGAGTTGAGTAGTGGCTGCTTGGGTGACCTCAGGAAGCTGGAGGGCAACTTGGGGGTCTTTGGGCCGTGGGTAGGACTTCCAAAGAGCTGAGGCCGACTGGGAGGCCGTGCGTGCTTAGGGGGCCTCAATGGGGCCTTGGTGACTGGGAGGACTCTAGGAGCTCTTCAAGGACTCCGGTAGGTCCCTAGGCGTTCTCAGAGGGCTTTCTCGGGAAAGATGAAAGGGCTACCTGGAAAGGGCTTTTTAGGGTCTTTGAAGGGTGTTTTGTCTCAAGGCCATTTATAGGTTTCTCTGTGTTCGGGGTGCCCTTTGAGAATTTGAGGTCTGGGTATGACTTTGGAGGTTGTTCAGGGTCTCTGGAGAGGTTGCTGTGTATTCCAAGACTTGTTAGGAGTTCCTGGTGACTGGGAGTCCCTGGGGAGGGGATTCTGGGGTTGTCTGCAGGCCTCCTGGGAAGGTCTCTAGGATGTCTCCGAGGAGCTTGCTCAAAGAAGTTGTCTGGGAGTCCTGGCGTGAAATAAGTTTCTGAGCATTCTCATCAGAGCACATCTCAGGAACAGCCTCCTTGTGGGAGCCCATGAGTACCTACTGTGGATCTCCCAGGTTTGGTGCCCTCAGGAAGTTGGAGGGCTAACCCATTGTAAGGGTGAAGAAACGGAGGCTCCATGAATGGCAGGGATGGTGTGGAGCTGGGAAAAGTGCCACTACAAACTGACTAGTTGGAACCTTCTAGAACCCATCCTGTCCTTTCCATGCCCTGGCTCCTGCCCCTGCCCTTGGTCTTTGTACATGCAGATCCGACTGTGCCTTCTGCTCAGACACCTTCCACGATCTCCATCCTCTGCAGTAGAAAAGACTCAGTCTCCAGCTGGGCACTTGAGCTCCTGCCAACCTATCCCCTGCCCTCTTGTCACTCCCCACCTCTGTAGGTTCACCTGGCCCCCAAATCAACTTGCCTTGTCAAGCTCAGGTTGCTACTTCTGTCTAGAACACACTGGGCCTCCTTATGCCTGGTGACACCTTATGATGTTGCCTCCCTTGGGGACCCTTTGTTGAATTTTTCTGCTCAGACCCTCCCATTGCTTCTTGTTGCCCTTAGAATCTAGACCACATGAGCTTTCTAACTGTATCCCCAACCTCCTTTCCTTTGTCACTCTTCCAGCTACAATGGCTTCCTTGCTGTTCTTAAACACACTCATATTTGTTCTGGCCCCAGGGCATTTGCACTTGCTTTCCCCTCTGCCCAGATCAGTCTTCCCCCACTATTCATTTTCATCATGCCATGGCTTAGATGTCACCTTCTCAGACAGCCCTCCCCTGACCCTGTGTCTCTGTAGACCCTCCCACCTAGTTGCTCTCTGGGAGAATGGCCAACATTTACACAGTGCTCTTTCTGTATGCGGCACCATGCTAAGCCTGACTTCTTCAGGCCCTCCCAACAACCTGGTGAGGTGAGTACTCTCTGGTCTCATCTTACAGAGGAGCTGCAAACTGAGGCACAGCATGGTTTTGTCACTTGCCCAAGGTCACACAGCTGGCAAGTAGTGGGGGCAAGATTTGAACCCAGGCAGCATGGCCCCAGAGCGTGACTTGTAACCATCAGCAGCACTTGTCATTTGTAATGATCTTATGTGTCTGCTTTTTTGCCTTTTACTTTTTGGGTCTCTTCTTCCCCCCTGCATTCCCCCTCCCCAAACTGTGAGCCCCGTGGGGACCCAGATGGAGATCATGTTGGTCTTTGTGCCCCTGTGGCCCTGGTCTCCCATCAGGGTGGCACACAGCAGGAGGACGGGATATATCTTTTGGCTGGGAAGCCTTCCCTCCTTCCTTGGGCTTGCCCAGGCCCCAACTCTGCTCCATGGCACAGGGGACATCTGTGCTCACTCTGCCTCCCTCAGCACAGGGCAGGGGCTGGGTCCACTCCGAGCCCCCAACACAGAGCGTGACACGCTTTCTGTAGGAGGCAGCCTCAAAGATGGCCCACTTCCTGGTCTTCATACCCTTGTACTTCCCTTTGAGTGTCGGCTGGACTTAGTGACTTATTTCTAAGAATAGAATACAGCAAATGTAATAGGATATTACTTCCGAGATTAAGTAATAAAAAGACTGTGGCTTCCATCTTGGGTGCTCTCTCGGGTCACTCCCTTGGCGGAAGAAGCCAGCTGCCATGATGTGAGACAGCTCTGTGGACAGTCTCACATGAGTGAACATGGAAGTGAATTCTCTCCTGGTGAAACTTTGAGATGACCACAGCCCCAGACAACACCTTGATTACAGCCTCAAAAGAGACCCTGAGCCAGAACCACCTGGCTAAGGTGCTTCTGGATTCCTGACCCCCAGAAACTGTGAGATAGTAGATGTTTGCCGTTTCCAGTTGGTAATTTGTGGGATAATTTGTTACACAGCAATAAGTAACTAATGTGACTTGTATAGCACACCCTTCTCTGCCAATACCAGGCCTTGTTCTAATGCTCTCACAGCCCCGTAAGGAAGGAATGCTTACTAACCCCATTTTACACTTGGTGAACCAAAGCACAGAGAGGTGAGGTCATTTGCTAAATAACACACAGCCATGGAGGGGCAGGGCTCCAGAGTATGTGTTCTTAGCTGCTCTGTTGTACTGGGCTGGGGGCTTCATTTAGACCCTAGGATCAGAAAATATTTAAGCACCCCAAGCCAGTTCTTCCAACTTGTCCTTGTATTTACGTCATGACATCTGATCACATTCAGCCTTGTTTGTTTCTTCCTGCCCTGGTTCCCTGGAGCTCAGGGTGAAAACAGGAGGGGGCAGAAGGAGCAGAGGGACAAGAAGAGGCCTCAGGAAGGGCCCAAAGGCAGACAGTGGCCTCTTTGTCCCCAGGGAGGGGGTGGTTTGTGCTGTTGCCAGGCAGGGCGGCCCAGGCCTGTGGCCGGAACTGAGCATTGGAGTCCACTGCCCCGGCCATGTGGGTGGACTCCAGAGAGGCTGGGGGCGAGGGCAGTTGGGACAGGGCATGAAGGCTGGGCCTGGCTAGGAATGTTCAAGTAATCTGAGCAAGACCGGCTGCAGCCTCAGTTTGTGCTTCTTGCTGTGTTGCCTGTAGGCAGACAGCATCCTTGTGGGGGCCGCTTCCTGTGGTTCCCACCCTTGCTGGTGGCCCTCTCCCCCATGGCTTTGACACTAGTACCCCTTCATGGGGTTCTTGGGGTTCTCAATCCAGTTGACCCACAGGAAGCTCTTAGAGGAGAGCTGAGGAAACAGTAGGTGCTCAGACATGTTGATGCTGTCTGCCATCAGCCAGCAGTGGACAGATGTTCCCAACATGTGCTGTCTCCTCCACTGTCTGCTGCACTCACGTCTCTCCAGCCTGCTGGCCTTTGCTGTCCTTTAAATGTGCCAGTCTCCCTCCTGCCCCCAGGCCCTTGCACTCACGGTGCCCTCCACCTGGAATACTTTCCCTTAAGCTTTACCCACGTCTGGCTCCTCATCCTTCAAAACTTGGTGTAAAAGTTGCTTCCTCAGACAGGGCTCCCCTGCCCAACCTTGGATAAAATCTGTCCTGGTTATGCCTGATCACATCATCCTGTTTCTTTCCTTCTTAGGAAATTTATCATAAAACTGTCACTGTTTTTGTTTGCTTTATTATTATTATTATTAACTGTCTCCCTCTCCCTATATTGTAAAGCTATAGGGGTGGGACCACACCTACCTTGGTCACCTGTGCATCCCCATTCTTGTCATGATGTCCAGCATTTGGTGGCACTTTGTGGAGGTGTGCTGTCCTATCTATTTATCGTCAGTATGTCTGCCCCCTGCCCCCTGCCCCAGGCTCCCACTGATCTGACTTCTCATACCAGATCAGGTTCGCTTGTACACAGTAGGTGCTCACTGTTTAGGGGATGAACAAAGGAAACTGACAGGAAGGGGCAGGATGCTGGGCTCCGGGTTCAGGGGCGTGAATATGATCATCCCACCTCTATTTACTGAGCACCTACTACTACGTGTCAAGCCACTGGTCGGTTTCAGGGTGTCACTTCCCTGGGCGCTCTCACCGGGTTGCTGCAGACAGAGGCTTTGATGAGGGGAACTCTCCAATTGGAGATGTTCACTGACAAGAACCCCTCCAGCCACTGAGATAAAGCAGGGACCCAGAGGCACGAGGTGGGTGGGAACCTACCCAGGACCCCTTGTCTTTCTCTTCACATCTGTCCCCATTTCTGGCCCCTAAACTGAGAGACTCTGCCCTGAGACCCTGCTTAATTGTGGCTGTCCTTCCCTTGCCAAGGATCTGGCCAGGGCTGGAGCAGCTGTTCCCTCTGGCTGCAGGGTTCAGGCCCGGCCTGGGAGCCCCAGATGCCTCTCTCCCTCCAAGTCTGTCCTGTGGGATTGTTTGTGGCAGGTTCACTGCACTCCAGGAGGGTGGGGCCTTGGTGTGTCTCCTCCACAGCTGTCTCTCCAGGGTCTAGAAGGAAACAGAGGCCAAGTCCTGTCCACCCAGAGCAGGGAGAGACAGCCTAGGGGCAAATGGTAACAGGTAACCAAGTCAACTGCATATGGCATTTGAAGACCTTGAGTCCCTGTTAAAAAAACAAAGAGGGGGTGAGGGGGATGGAGAGGGTATAGCTCAGTGGTGGAGCCTATGCCTAACATGCACAAGGTCTTGGGCTCAATCCCCAGTATCTCTATATAAATGAATGAATGAATGAATGAATGAATGAATGAATGAATACATAAACCTAATTACCCCTCTCCAAAAAAAAAAAACCCTTAAAACAAAGCAAGGGCTAGAGAAGGGAGGGAGTGATGCAGCAACATGTAGGGCAACATGAGCCAAGACTTTATGGAGGTCAGGGAGGAGCCGTGTGGATGTTGGGAGAAGGTAGTCCAGGCAGAGGGCACAGCCTGTGCAAAGGCCCAGAGGCAGAAGCATGCCGGGTGTATTCAAGGAACAGTGAGGAGGCATGAATGAGTGAGTGAAGGGGAATGTTTGGGGAGGAGGAAAAAGGGGAGGGAGTGGAGGAAGATGGAGGAGAAAGAGGGTCTGTCTCCATCACTGCTGGGTCTTGCCCAGTGTGGGCTCGGCCTGGCACGTAGTAGGTTCTCACTATTTGGGGGATAAATAAAAAGTCTGTGCCCCTGCGCTGGCTGCTCGAGAGGGAAGGCACACCAGGTTCTGTGTTCAGGCAGGAACACAGTTATCTGGCCTCTGTTTACTGAGCACCCATTATGCTCTAGGCTCCTTGGCCAGTGCGGATGTAACTTCCCTGGACGCTCACAACCCTGGAGGGCATGGACTCGTGACTGGGTGGCTTCACACAGGGGTTTTGAAGGGGGTACATAGCAGGGCAGGGAGGGCTCTTGAGGTGGACAAGAGAACATTCCCTGAGCCCAGCCAGTGCCCAACCCAGTCTGGCCCCATTTGGGGGAATCTACACTGTGATGGGGAGCAGTGGGCACAGTGCAGGGGCCGAGCCCTGTAAGACTTCCTAGGGGAGGTGGCAAGGATGCGAGGAGGAGCCCAGTGATGTGTAGGGCTGTGCACAGCTCAGTGTGCTGGAAGGTGGCATGTGTTCGGGTGCTACAGTTGAGCCAGGTCACAAAGGCCACAGAATCCTGGTCCCTCCCCAGGGTAAGCAGGAAGGGCCTTCCAGGGACTCCCAGGGTAAGCAGTCTGAGACCCAACCAGGAAGAGCCATAAATCTCATCAGAACCCTGACTCCTGGCTTTAAAAAACTGCAGATGTAGGTGATTGTGTGGACCCCATCTATCCTCTCCTCTAACAGACCACCCTCCCACCTCCCACCCAGGACCTTGTCTTCCTCTGTTCCCAGGCCCATTCCCACACCAGGGCCTTTGCACTGGCCGTGCCCCTGGCATTACACCCAAGGCTACTCCTTTTCACCTTTGAGAGACCTGCTCAGACTTCACCCACCTGCCTCTCTCCAGGGCCGCCACTGCCCCCATTCTGTCCCATGTCACTCTGACTGCACCACCCGTCATGGCCTTGTCATCATCCAGCACTTTTCTCATGCTCATTCATGTATGTGGAGGGGGGTTGCTCCCCTGGGAAGACTGTGAGCTTCTGGTCATCTCTGAGCTAGGAATAGTGCCCAGCATGCAGTAGGTGCTGGTACAAAAAAACCCCCCAAACACCCACACACATACAAAAACTGAAAAATAAAGCCAATTAAATCTTCCAATTAAAATATAAGTGAAGTTGATTAAATCTTCAAATTGGAAAAGAAAAAAACCCAGTATGCCTGGTACACATCAGCTGCCTGCATGAATGAAGGAGGGAGGGAATGAATGAATGAGTATCAGTGCTGAGATCTGCTATGGACCAGTTGAGTCCATGGGTGTGAGGAAGCCATTGCAGGGAATCAAGGACACACAGAGGAAGCAGCAGGGGTGGAAAGGATGGATTTGATAACTGATTTGATGCTAAAGCTGGTGGGACACAGTAGGAAGATGTAGCCTAAAAAGGGGGTGGAGTTGAGATGACCTGTATCTGTCAGGGCAGAGAAAGCTGCTGTAACAAACAGGCCCCCAGCTTATCAGTGGCTGAACCCAGCTCTAGGTTACGTCTCACAGCCAGGGGCT